ATTTCAAAGAGCATCCTCGAAGTGCAGTAAATCCGCGCGACGTGTCTGAAAGTTTCAATGGAAGCTCAGTCCACACTGATGAGCAGCCACCAACTGGTGGAAACGATGTTCTCCAATTTGCAGTCAGTCTGCACACAAAAGAACCGACACAGTGTTTCGCCATTTCATTAGTAGTGTTTTTTTTGTTACAACTTCCTGTGTTTTCCTTTTTGCTGCCCAAGCGGAACTCAATCACAACACAATGTTCACACTCAAATTGGACAGCAATGAAAGTGTAAGGAGTTATTCACCATCTACACACGCACACACACAAAGAAAGATACACGCATTCTGTGGAAGACAAAATAATTTATCCTGGGACTTCGCCTCAGGCGAATGCTGGTCAACATCTGATCCCATGGGTCATCTAAGTGCGTGCAGCTACTTTGCGCGCGTGAGACCGATTCGACCATGTCCAGACCGGACGGTTAAGCTGTGTTTCTTTCATGTCCATCAATCCGGACTAACTACAGATAAAAAAAAAACAACTTTAAGTGAGTTGATGTACGAGGTTCTCAGAAGAAAATATTCAGAGAGAGTGGCATTGAGGTCCGAAAATTTGGAAAATCATTGGCGTGTGGTAATTGCACAGATCTGATATAAGGTTATCGTTCAACGGTCCCATTTGAACGGCTTAAGACCGTATCACAAGTGTCCCCATGGAAAAAAACATGGATTGATCTCACAAAGATGACACCTTATTGAGCTGGCTTCTCCTGGAAGGGATTTTACTGTTGGGATGTGCTTCAGGAGTGACCTCTCCTGAAGGTGACCTGTCTGGAGGAAGAGGGCTATGTTGATTAGTTTTCAACCGAGGGTTGTATGAGCACAGGTGTACAGTGCCCCTTCTACCCATGGTTGGGACCACTGGAATACGGTTCGTCACAGTGTTTGCTTAATCCAGCCTCTAGCAGTGGAAAATAGTGAGATTGTAATCAAAAATGACACCTTTTTCCTAAAAGGCGAAAAAACTTGAATGAAAAAGCACTGTATTTGCCTGCCGAATCTCATTATATAGACGACGTAACAGAAATGTAATAATGAATGTTGCAGGCCAGTATTTGTTCATAAAGTTCACGAAACAGAATCTCGGTAACTGAGACTGATCGGAAGTGGATAAGGATAGACACGGAAAGGGGGTTGGTAAGCCAAGTGTGAGGTATTTTGATGACTCTATGTTATGCATATCGTAAACCTCATCAACCGCTGCGTGGAAAACTTTTGGCTATTTCTTCTGTCATGATTTTCACTTTTTTCACACCGTACTGTCCGATCGCATGCATTCGATCACACCAAAAGGGTTATCAAATATTTATTCCATGGGATCGCGGGACGTTATGCAAAATTTAAGGTGGCTTATTTAACCTAAAATCAATAAAGAAACGTCAGATACTTTATAAAAAGTATTTTTGGAGAGTATATCCGGCAAGCTCAGAGTCCAAGCAAAATGAAACAGCTCCCCTGGGTAGAGGGATTTCTCAGTCTGATCGCGCGATTCCCATCCACAAACTTGCGTGTGTATTAGAAGTTGTAAAGTAAACCAAATACAGATTTATTAAAACTTACTCTAGCCAACAAATAAGTTTAGCTAAGGATATCAACGTGTGATTTTAATTCGAGTGCAGTTGAGCTGTTTGTTTGTTTGAGTGAAAGAACCGGATAGTACCGATGGGTTGAGATCTGAGAATGATAATTTAACCTCAAAACGTGGTGGAGTCTAGCCTTCTTGACGTAAGTTAGCGTCGACATACGAAAGTGAGTAGATAACTTCAGTATCTTTTCCAAAATGAAATGACTTGACCAATAGACTTGACTTGCCAATAGACATGTTTGTTTTAAATTCCGAGAATAGGCATCTGCATTTGTACAGTAGAAGTGGCACGGATAAGCCTGGAATTCTGGTTAGAATGAAAGATCATTTTAGTGGAAAAAGACAAATTCAGTTGGCGTGAAAACTTGGAAGAGATTCATTTAATGCATCAGAAGTGAAAGTCCTTCGAAAAACGAAGCGATAAAAGTATGATTTAAGTCGGTACATCATTTCTCTCCTTCTCCAACTGGTCATAACCGTCGTTATGGAATGCATTACACCGCTCAAACGAATTTACGGACGATTTATTTTAAGCTGGGGACGACGTAAAGGGTAGGAATGAAGAAGCAGGAACGTCAGCGGTAGAACAGCTTCAGATATTCGTGTTGCTGTATGCAGTGAATGAGGCTCATTAAGTAACGGTCGTGAATGGTGCGATAGCCGGAACACTTTTATGTCCGGTTTGGTTTTCCTACGTGAAGCGGCTGTCCCAGGCGCCTGAAATTCGAGCATTTGTTTTTGGCGTAAGATTAATATGGTGGTCTAATATCTAGAAAACAAGATTCTGAAACTGTTTGCTGTTGACTTGAGAAATCCGTAAACTTTGATTGTCTAATCTCTTGTCGTCGAACAAGCTAGTAGGAAAGCCTGTATGCGGCCCATTCATTGTATATTATGGGACGATTGGTGCTACCAAGGTACTCAAACCACAGCACTAAGAAAATGGTCAGCCCGTCCGCGACCATATGACAGGACCAGTTGTGAGAATCAGTTTTCGATGCCATTTTGTTGCAAAGAGGCCATACTTCCTGAAGGAAGTGCAAGGGCTGAGGTGTGTAGATTGCAGCCACTAAACAGACAGGGTTAGATTCAAACCATGCATGGCCGTGTTCTTATATTCAATCCCTAGGCTTTCTTAGCCGCCCCTTCAACAAGTGCACGCGACTTACGTGGATAGGCGGACTAATCCTTTGACACGCTACTCGTTTCACTAATAATAATCACTCCACTTCCGATGTCCAACCAATCTTGACCTCACCACCTTTCAACTTCGACTCACCCTGGATTTGTGTGTCCATATCGGACCTGATAGAACATTTTACAGGAAATCCACACTAATGGTTAACGGCTACGTGCATATGTGGTCGAAGCTCTCGAAAATTCGGCCAAACTGCCAAACCTGAAATCTCAGCTACAAGCACAAATATCAAATTAAAATGCCCTTAGACCAAACTAAACATACTGTATCCTCGAACGATTTCGTCACTTGCCAGTTGGAAAAGTGTGCCGGATTCAGCAGAGTCTAATAGGATTGTTTTCTAAGTTTGATTAACCAGATAAAATGGCATCAGGTTATCAGCACTACCTGTGTAACAGTGGATGGTACTGTTACCCCATCAGTAGTATCCACAGTTACACCAGCACTTCTGTGTAAAGTCTAAAGTTGAATAGAATAGTGGAATAAAATGTTTTATTCCAAACCTCGAGAACGTCGTTCACAAATTTTCAAGGATTTTTGAAATCTATTGACCATGGGCCAAGTGCAGCAATATTTGGGTCCTTCAATACGTCTTCTTATTGGTATCTTCCTGGTGTCAATGGTTAGTCAGATGCATTCAGTGCACGTTGGCTCTGTGATATGAGCATCCTCCGGGGATTCGCCTCATTTGTTATTTTATTACCTGAAGTGCGTCACTGTTCATATTCTCTTACGACATTTGTATTCTGTCCACTATGATGCGAGTTAGGTGCAAGCTAGGTAGTCGGGAGGCTGGCTCCATCATCACGACTGACACATTTTGGATGTATGTTGATCTCCGGTACCTCGGCGCGAGTGCAGTTCATGCGTAGTGTGAATCCAGACGGAAGTATGCGTCTGCTATTTAGGTAGAGGTACGAAGTCCGGAGTACGATGAGTAAACAGGTTTTTTGACTCCTTTAGGTTTCATGGAAGAAGTCGGACATGTCCTTTGTCCTTCTGGAGGCTGGCTGGACATTCTGCACGATGAATCCGGTAGACGCAGTTTGTGCGAAGTGTGGGCTCGACAAAGTGATTAGCACTTGCGAGTTGATGTTGTGAGCGCAACACGGTATCAGAATTATGAGGGATAAGACTGCTCTGTGTGCTAGAGGCACATCGTCAAACAAAATCATTAGATCGCACAACAGCATAAACAGATGTTACGTCAAGCATCTTTTTGCGGAGATCGTATTTGATATAACAGTCAAATTCTATTTAGCTGTGAACTGTCGGGATGTTCAGAAGCCAAGCCAATCAAGTGACCATATACTGTTTAGAGAGATTTTCTTCTCCCAGCCCTGTTCTTGGGGGAATATGTTATACTGCTCAAATGAGTCTAACAAGTCATGATTATCTTGCACAGCTTGACATCGTTTTATAAGGCGGGAGCAAGTGTTTGACCCTACTGTTCTGAATCGTACCGTAATACTTGAAAAAATCGGGGAAGAACATTTTATTCTCCTCCTTGGTGTGAAGAGTCAACAGATGTAACAAACAAACTCTGGAAAACCTTTGAACCTGGAGCAGTTGAGTGTTTTGGTAGTATGTCTGAGGATGAGGAAATTCCTAGGTCCAGACAAGCTTTGATTACGTATTCTCTATGGTGGCGCTTCCAGAATTTCATAAGCACTATTCTTAGGTGACTTCACCGCAGTGTCGTTTCAATTCACTTACGGAAAGAACCGTGTTACTGACCCACGAAAGGCTACGAAATTGCCGTCAGCAGCTTATTCCACAAAACGATCTGACATTTTACAAATAATCATTAAAACATAACTTTCACCAAAATGTTATTCGAACTTTGGTGGAGTACCACAAAAATATACGTGTTTTTCACACATCTGCTGTTGTTGCATCACGCTGCCTGGTCCCTCCATCTTACGTGGGGTAATTTTGGAACGTGGCTGTTCGTTCTCCCGCCATTGTGATACTATAGGTGGTCGCCTTTTGTTCTGGTTTGCCCAAATCTCAGTTTCGGTCATCCGCCCTCGATCCTCGTCCAATCACGTGCGATGACAATGTTGGACGCACATGTGCGTCCGTGTGTTTCTCTCGCAGTGGTCAAAAGACCACTGTTTGACAAATTGAAGTCAACCCGACCCCTTTGATTTGCGGCACCGGCATCACTGTCTTGATCAGTGTCATAGTGGGAAAGCCAAAAATGAATGCGTCACCTAGACGCATGAAGTGTGGAGCTGGTTGAAGAACCGGTAAGCGATCGGACGGAGTAAATCAACTGTGCAGTTTACCGATACACGCCATGCGAATACTAGGAATACTGTTCTTCTGCTTCTACGGCTTTTCGGTGGGGAGTGCTTGGGTGTTTCAAGTAGACAGTATTCATGATGCACCCAGCACACCTAATCACGGAAGGGACAAGTCTGATGAAATTCGTGTTGTTTACGAGGATGTTCGATCGCCTTGTCACTCGGAAGGCCGGGCATCCCAGTGTATGCCACCTTTCACAAATATAGCGGAAGGTGCCCCTGTGGTCGCCACATCAACCTGTGGAGCGAGCGACAAAACGGAAAAGTTCTGTAAGCAACAAGCTGACGCTACAGGTCGCATTCAGTGGCGTTGTGAGCAGTGCACAAGTGAAGATAAATTTCCCACCCATCATCTGACTGATCGTCACCAAATGGCTAACGAGACTTACTGGGTCTCGGGAGCGGTGTTGCGAGGACAAACCATCAATATTACTCTTTCCTTGGGCAAGACCTTTGAGGTTTACTACGTCTCACTGCAACCATATGGAAAGCTCCCGGACGCCATAGCGCTTTACAAGTCTTCAGATTTTGGGAAAACATGGCACCCATGGCAATACTTTTCAACCGATTGCTTCCGCGCTTTTCGTCTGCCTACCAGTAATGAACATAATGCACAAATATCGGCAGCTAATATTCAAGAGGTACTTTGTGTGGCACTCAAATCCTCAGAGGATAATGAGCCCTATGGTCGGTCAATGAAAGTGATTGCATTCAGTACCACCATTGGGCGTCCATCAAGTCAACCCTGGAGTGCGGCCTTGGTTGATTGGATGACCATGACCGATCTTCGAGTTAGTCTTACCCGCTTTTCTGACCTAGCTGATATGACTCAACACGACGCAAGCGGTCTTTTGCTTACGCCAAACCTACTGTCACCAGCGAAAGTGTTCCGCGTTGGCGAGGTAGAAAAAAACAAAATGTCAGCAGGCACACTGGGAATGAGTCGACACCACTTTCAATCCGACGCTGCCTCATTCATGCCCGATAAGGGGATGCATTTCGCCTTTTCCGACTTAGCTATCGGCGGGAGATGCAAATGTAACGGGCACTCGAATCGGTGCGTTCGCGACCGTTTGGTGGACGCAGCAGGGAAAGAAACCGGAGAGTGGGGACCTCTGAGGTGTGACTGCCAACACAACACCGCTGGAATCGATTGTGAAAAGTGTGCACCTGGCTATCTGGACCGTCCCTGGGCTCGAGCCACCAGGGAGTTGGCGAATGAATGCAAACGTAAGTTACTACTTTTAGTAGTTACCTATCCTTGTCGGCTATCGAACTCATGTCGAATGGGGTAATTTATCCGCATGATATGAATTTGTTTGTTATGAGAGCTAAAGCCAGATGAAAATAAGTAGTCACGGATTTGCGGAACCTGAGGGATTATCACTTAGACTAACTTATGCGGAAATGTACAGTACAAATGTAAGGCTCGTCCGTGGGGGAAGTATGCCATTTTGAGTAATCCCACCATCAACAGACTGCTCTAAAAACTTCGAAAGCAGTTGAAACATAAACCTAGTCAATGTGAATAAATTGTTCCTACAGGATGATAAGACCACTATGTTTCAATACAAACTGATCTTACCTTAATTTTCAACAGAATTGAGAGAAAACCTTGGTGCTTCACGCCAAGTAGGGTACTAAGGAGAAAACTGACTCATGGGAAAGTCCTCGTTTTCGAGCAGTGGTCAGCAGTCTCAGCTGTAATTCATGTGATTCTGATCGAATTGGCTTTATTTACAATCAGTATAGCTTCTATAGGGGTATTTATGGTTATCTTTCAGCAGATTCCACTTTAGTCTCTGACCCCTTAACCGTCAGGGAAGAATTAATCGGCGATCATCCGAATGAACTTCGTTCGTTCGATTTGATGAGTTACTCGGGACAGCGGATAAGCGAATAATCCATCTCCCAAAAAGCCCGAAGCACACTCTCTTTGGAAACGGCAATCAGTTTGATGTAACAGCTGAGGATTGGTTCTTCAAAGAAGCATTCCATATAATGATTGGCAGGAGTGTTTTTCTCATCTTTATCTCTTAAAAAAGGGGAAAATTTGAGGCGATTAGAAATCATGTGAAGACTGACGGTTAACAATTCTTAAAGTTGCAAATTGATAGAAAGCGTAGTGATTAGAAGCGAAGCTGGTTCGAAATACTTCAACATTAATGTCGCCATATACAGCTGCTTGCTGTGGTCTAGTTCTACGTAAAAGTAGTTGCTGCCGTGACAACCTTTCCGAATGCTTTTGACTCCACCTTATCAGAATGAAGTTCAAATAAATGAAGAAGCTAACTGCCGCTCCAGACCATATTTTTTCCGTTTAAAAAAACTTTTAATAAATCTCACCAAATGCACTCACTTTCAAGTTAATTTGGTATTGATGGGAGACTCACTTGGATCTTGGCTGAATTCTTTATTTATGATATTTTTCAAGCTGTCATGTCGGTTAGATTACCCATGAACCTCATGCGCATTGTTCCTTCAAGAAAATATACGGCGGTCTTGAATATCGTACCAAATGAAACGTGAGGCGGCTTGTGTGCTTCATATTCAGTCGAAGAATATCATAAATGGGGTATTTAGTCTTCCATGAAAGCCAGATTAGTGTACAAAATAGTGCATTTAATGATTTACTCAAAATGTGGGTTTGAGTAGAGCCTAATTTTGACGGAAAATCGGGGCCCACCTACCTCATGGGCTCCAAGATGGGCGAAACATGTTGTGAGCTGTTGAAGAGATTCCCGCAACTTTATGAATGGTGTTCCTTCAAGAAACATTTGGATTGGTTTCACGGATGAAGACATATATGTTCTACATCTTCATAGAGCAATGCAGTTCATATTGCACAATTTACTAGCATGTGATTGTTTTGAACAGGGCTTATGCGAGACATAATGAGAATAGTGAATCTTGGGGGAGCTTCTCATCCAACCACATTTTAGGTTATATGACAACCGCATGAACCTTGAATGTTCAGTATTTTGGGAGATTCGTCATACCTGCATACGTTTTATATCTTTGATGCGGATCGAAGTGCGCTTCTCACCCAGTGGGGATGGACTGCTATCAAATACTTGATCGATCACCGTGTTCGCCAAACATCGTTGATTGAAGCTGGTGCAAGACGACTTCCCTCTCTCTCGTCAAATCTCTCTTCCGTGCCGTTTGACTAGTTGTCGTCATAACAAACATTATCTAAGATAAAACAGAAGACGTAACTTTCTTGGTGAACGAATTCGAGCATTTTAGACAATCGTTACACTCGGACGGAATCCAGAAACAGGGGAAGCAGCTTTCACCTAGTGCACACGCATGCCCATGAAATATATGACCGACCTTTGAAACTGAATGAAACCAGCGTAAACTCTTCAAGTCCTGGTGTTTCGTCGCGTCTAGGTTGTCAGGAAAGTCTGTATGCATTTTACTTAAAAGAAGTCTGCTTTTTATTCGAAGAAAATATTGGTAGCTCAGGCTAGAATGATGGTTTTGGTTTGTTCGATGAAGTGCGCAATTTCCTCGCAAACGCCTCATCACCAGCCGAAGTGACACCATCAGTACCTTGTGAATGGAAGTGCGTTGAGGTATGAAGTGTACTTCGAATGCACTTCCAAGGCATTTCCAAGGCACTGCGCACCTGAAGACAAATCCATTCAGAGCGCACTAAAGATATCATATCAGCTGTTGATGGAACCACACTATCCAGCTCAGCGAGCAAGCCAACAACCGGAAACCTACTACATAATCGGTTTGCAAATGTCGTTAGCTGTTATTTGTCGGAGCATTGTTAGGTTAGGTTTTTCCGAATTGAAGTTTTATAGCAGTATTTAGCTTGCATAGCATCATCTACTTTCAAAGTATTCAAAGTTGGAATCATCCACCCTACACTAGTTGGTGTGGACTCCGGTAAACCTCAGCAAACAGCGTGTGAAAATCGCTTTGGGTTCATTAAATTCTGGCAACTACTGACTCTTCCACCAACAGTCTGTGCCGGCCGTACACTAGCTGAATAATATCTCATGACGTCGTTTTCATTGAATTAGACTGTTAACAACTCATCTTTTAATGACAAGTACATTTTACTTCTCATCACGCCGTCGTTTCTGAACCCGGGCGATTCAATAAGTCACCAGGAACGTAACTGAGATTTTATTGAACGATCGAATCCCAAATGCGTGTTCGTGGAGTAGACTACGAAATGTTGACTTACCACTATTGGAGTAGCAGTTTACGTCACTTGAGCCATCAAACCGTACTTTTGTGTGGAAATTTTGCTTACGAAGCGCATTAGGCCCTCCGTGGTGGTAAAAAGCTTGGACGTAGGATGTCTGGGCTATTCACAGCTTAACGGAAACTGATGTGCATTTCCCGACTTCAGAAAAGAAATGTTCCAGCTTGAGGGCTGAAGTTACAAAATTATCCCGGTTTCTTTTGGATGATCCTCATTGTTCTAAGTCATTCCCGTGATGAAGTGAATGAAATTAATAGACGGCTGCAGTAATTTTATTCTCTTCTAGGTTCGCTTCACTGTCCATAAAATCTCATGTTTGCGATGTACTCTACAGTCTGCTTATCAACACCACAAAATTTGATCAAGGGTTAGTTTTTTATACCTCGTGAGCTTTTAAAATTGGTCGGAAATAAATCTATCCTCATACGTGAGTTGCTTCGGTTTCAACTTCTTCACACGTCACTCAGGTAACAGCGACAGACTTACATGCTTGGCATTTAGTCTGAACATACTACTTTTGGGTGCTTTGTCTACGGTATAAATGGTTCAATGTTGGCTTATTTTTATTTACTGGATCAGGTTGCAGTCCGATGTGCATCGTAATAGTGAGTACCGGCAGGATCTTTTATAAGGTGTCAAAACAGGAAATGTATCTTCTGCATTGTCGGAACGTGTATTCTCAAAAGTGTACCGTTCCTTCTGTAGTATCCTCGGATTTTACTTGAGTTAGGTCACTCTCTGTCCTCTAGAACATGAACTCAGACAATGGTTGTACTCAAAACAGGATGGAGATGGTTTGAAAATTGAGGGTTCAACTAAGCGAACCGACAACCGAGTCTCCCAAACGGGTCCTCCAATAAGGGAACTACCTAAGATGTTCCTCCGCATCACGCTAGTTCGTGCAGTTTGACGAGTATCTGCCGAACCACAAAAATTTGATGCTACCGGTGTCGTTAGTGAGTCTCATGTGTAAATTCTGCACTGCGCCAGAACTTGAGGTCATTCAGATGCATGGAGCGCATTGATGTAAATTGAAGAAGCATAAAGGGAGATATAATAAATTGATTGGAAATCAGTGATAACTCAACATCAATTTTGTGTTTGAACTCGTCAGGCTAACATCATCGCCGAAAAATGGTGTTCAATGGGAAATGCAACAGACTGAGACTTGGAGATATGCCTTAAAAGCAGATGAAAACGCTAGTTGGCTGTTTTCGAATTTTCATCGATTCCCTCCGTTCTGTTAATTGAGAAATAAATACCCAGAAAACTGACGTTTCAAACTACCGGAGCCCTAAAGGCAATTGCTATGCCTCTTGTTTAATTCAGTAACATCGGAACTTACTCTCAAGAATTACACGTGCACACGCACGAAGCTATGTTGTGGCTTTTACTTTCACCAAATGAGTCATTCTGGCTTGGTGCTGTTTTCCAGCTTAAACCACTCATATATCACCCTTCGCAACCATGCTGGAGGATATTATTCCATTGTGTATCACGTAGCTCTCTACGTACCTACGGAAATCATAGAGTGCACGGGACTCGACGGCTTACTACGTATATGATGTGAATACTTGGATGCAAAAGTACCTGCTCTGGACCACTTTTATAGTTTACTGAACATTTAGTGCACGTTTGATTTCGTTTCTCAGTTTCGACTATCTAATCCTACTTACCTGGGCGCCATACACCAGCCTCTTATCCAGTCCAGAAGGTCAACATTGGTGGTGAACTGGTTGGTTTGGAAACGTTGTTTCTGATACAAAATTCCTGTTCTCTGTAAAATAGTTGGGATGGTCGCTATGACCGGAACGTCAAAGCTGTGAGTTGTGCAAAGGAGTCCTTTTACTGCATTCCCCAAAATGATTAAATACAGACGAAACTGCTGTGAAATGTTATTTTAAAACCGTGAATTTCAAATTTCTGCGGCCGGAACAATGTCCAGTAAAAACCCCAAAATACAAACAAAAGTACAGTCAGTGACGTCCGATATAAGGCGAATTTTTAGCAGTTCCGGCAGCAATCAAGACGCCATTTATCAATTCCAGCGAATCTTGTCCGTTCATTTTTATGCAGGAGTGCCGAGGGCGAACAAATGCGTGTTGATTATGCACTAGATACCGACGTCAGGAAAGGTATGCCATTTTACCAAAGGACGAGACTATGTTTCGCTTCATTTGTTTTACTCGGTTATTGACAGATATCTTCTACAAGTATTGTCATTCCGTTCATCTTGCCCGAATGAATATTTTTTCGCCTGCCGGTGTCTACAGTGGGCTGAATTTTGAACCAACCATTGAAGAAAAACATTGAAGAAAATTACCACTGCTCTCCACCTTGAGGTTTCCTGAAAAATCCAATCAAATTGTTGATTGGTGTCTTGCTCTGTGACCTCTTCTTTATAATCTCTCAATAGTCACATCCTACGTAACTGAGATAGGAGTAGTATGTATGATTTGTATGTTACGTCCAGACATCACAGCAACCTGTTTAATGTTTTTCTCTAAGCCCTGTCTTCTTAATCTATCAATAGACATAGTATGAGCCACCAAAATCTCGCCAGGTTTTCGTCTAAAAGTTCCAAATTAGGACTTTTCAGCATTGATTACAACTAGCGCGCGTAGTTAGCCGAATTACGGAGGCCAACTTTCACATGTTTCCACTCAATGGAATTCACATAGCATGGTGAGTCAGCACCATAGGCATTGGATCAGAGCCTATCAGCCGACATCTGTCTAATGACTGCCTAATTATAGAGAGGTAAATGAGCTTATGTCTACCCCTCAGAATACAAAATGGGTTTTAATACTTTCATTTAGATACCTGGAAGACAGAACCACTCTCAACCATTCGGAAACTGCTGACCCGAATATTGTAGCAAGGGAGTGACATCATTGAAGGACGATGCGTTATTCTGCCCGAACTCTATTGATGAGCTGATATACTCAAGATTTTTATTTATGTAGGCTGTAAAAGTCAACTAATTCTATTTGATGTGTCGCAAATGTATTCTTCGTTTGCAAGGACTCAGATTCTCCTATGTTCCGGTCGCCTCATTCACTAGGAAAGCAGTCCACTGGTGTGGTCAATAAACAATAAATTTGGAACAGTTACCGGTTTGTGCTATAAACCTAGTATACTGTTTCTATGTGTCGCAAAAAATGAGTCCTGCCTAGAATCATGATCTTTTGTCTTCCAAAATATGTTCTTTCGAAAAAAAAGTGCTGTGATTTTAAGCCTGGAATTTCCAGTATTCATAGCGATTGGTAAACCCTAACAACGAAACAGCGTAACAGATTTCACAACTTCCTAGGATTAATAAAAAATGTTGTAAACGATAAAATTATTGCGTCGATATTTATTGCTTTGTTCCGTAGTTCAAAGGCCTAAGCTGCGTGCTCTCCATCGGGAGCGAACAAACTTTTTTGTAATTGATCAACTGGCTGTTGATATGTTTGTTGAGCTTGGGAATTGATCTGCGAACGTCTCGTCATGTTCAGTGTACCCAACTCCGAACAGCGCACTGAAGCTGTCCCTTCGAATTCTGATGAAGCGTTTGGAAATCAGTTACCAAGCTCGGCGAACAGATCTACAGCCACCGGATCAATTACCAGTTAATGCACCCGAGCTGCCAATATTCCAACACACTACAAACAAATTTCTACAAAAAATGTAGGAACCTGGCTTGTTATCAATATCTTCTGGAAAAAGGATGGAAAAGCCCCACAAGTCTCTCTATCTTTCATATGAGAATTCGGCACTCGAGAGGCAGGTTAAGACCGGAACTGCACGGTTTACGGACGGAAGCACATCAGCTCGCAGAAATGCAGGTTTACCAAGTTACCGATTAGCCACAGACAGACAAACTGTTCGGCTACTGTTTGGACGTTCACGGATGATCCTCCTCTGCAGCTACTTTCTGGGATACGCATTACCGATGGTTTTAAGTATGGATTTACAATGTCATTAGATTTTTACCACAGGATGGTTCACGTTCGGAGTGCAATCGCAAACGATGCTCCAAATTCTTCTCACTCTCTATAAGAGCATTCATTCATTCAGTCCCTCATGCAAGTCTGGAATTCGAACAACAATTCATCATGTTTGAGGTTATAGTGGACGTTTTTGCTGACATGGAATATACTATAGAGAGGGTTTCGATAGGCCTTCGAAGGTTATGAAGTAATACCCTCGTTTGTCTTCTCTGCAACCAATGTAAGTTTTTACAAAAATACGACAGTGCTGAAGCATTGCCATATTATTAATACCGAATGTATTAGGACTGGACATATACATGGCTGTATTCAGACTCACCAATTGCTTCGACTTTAGGCGTCCTGGAGCGAAGAGTATAGTTTTTCATGAGGTAGCAGGATAAAACTCAGATTCTAAAGAAACAAGAAACGAATGAACCAATGGAAGATGTGCTGGTTAATAGGGTAATCACAACTTATACTGCTGTTTCTTGTCTCAGTCTGGATTGGAAAGTTGTCGCTGTAGAAGTTAGTCAATACATGACCAAGTAACAGTAGAAGAAAGAAGGTTCTTTGCTGTGAAGTCATTTGTTCTCAAATACGAAGTATGCGGTTATAAACCATTAGATACGAAAATAAACATCTCACCTGCACAGAATTTTTGATTTGTGGACATTTTCCAGCTTTCTGTTGACCTCCCCGGACGTTCACTAAATAATAAACAATAGTAAACGAACACTGTAAAGCGGTTCCATAATTTCCGAGGTAACCTTCCATAGGATGCGGGATGGAACTTGGACATCAGACCACGGACTATTCGCACGCTTCATTAGTGGTATACACCCTTTTATTTGTAGTTTCGTGACCGAAGAATGAGTGACGCGAGCTAATCACACTGCCAATCAGCCGCTCATGACCGAATGGTCAACCCTTAAAACGACTATCCTGAAGTTTGTTGGTTTGAATCTTTCTAGAGATTCGTGAGATGTGCACTACTGGTGATTTACAGTGAGCAGAAAACAGCTGTATGCTCCCTTCTGGCTTCTCAGAATAGACTATTTCACTTACAGCACAAAATCTCCATTGAACTCTCCGTTAAATCTTCCCATACAATCAGCACACTGAGAATAGTAATCCAAAGTAGGCGGTCCTTGAAGGATAACCTACCTTACCCACTTTCTATTTGCAAAAATGCAGTTAGGTTTGTTGATGTCCATATGCCTTAGTTAAAAAAACTGTGCACTGGATGTAAGCGATTTGGTGGTGTAGAGTGTCCAGATTATGTTCGGTTTGTTGAATACACAGCCTGTTTCCTTATTCCATCTTGTTGCAATGATCAGTCCCTTTGATCCCCATCCCTATTTCTTTCGAGATGAGTACCCACTCCAGTGGCTTCATTATTATCTACTTGAGTAGGCTTAGCTAACAAGAGTGGGTTGGAAAAATCTCTTTCGAGAATTACGAGTTGTTTTTTATCAGTGCACTACCAACAAGGTGCTTTTTTTGGCAAAAATGTTCAACCCCTCGTCCATAGTTTGTTTTGTGTTAACTGAGCTTTCAGAAGCCAACGTAATCTCACGAAAAAGTCTTTATCAGGGCTTGATAAATCTCGATCAGACTGGTATGAATCCCCCATTTCGGAGAAGTTTGGTAACAGTCAGTAGATTTTTCCTCAAAATAATGTGTTTACGCTAAACACTAGGTAGTCAGTGGAGTCAAAAATTGTGTTTCAAATGCCTTTAGGCTTATCTGAAGCAGAATGAACTTTGTTTCCTTTTAAAGTCTCTTGAAAATGCTTTTAATTTTCTTATATACGGTGATTTTACTTTTTAACAGTTGCTAGGAAAACACGCTCCTGGTATACCCACCAGATGATGAGCGGCCCACCAGGATATCGGTGGCTCTAAAGCAACTACGAAAATTAGTAACCTTACAGCATGGTGTGTCCTTCATGGGATATGGTGTAGGTCGTAGGGCTTAGGGGAGCTTGCAATGGATGAGGGCCGACAGGAGAATGGCGTGTCGGTTTCAACAGATTAGGATGTGCATGGGGATGGACGTAATTGCCAATTTAACCAGGTCCGAAATGTACTGAGTTGGCGTCAGTTTTAGCGGGCACCTATCTGTTCCCTACGGACGTCAGGAGTTGAGGAATGTGGCCAGTCATCACAGATGATACATCCAAGTATCTATGGGATGAGAGACAGCCATGTGACACACGCCTATCAGGACCGTCATATAGAGCCGTCAGAGATAGCTGTACATAGTAACTATTCTGCACAGTCAAACATGGCTGAAGTATACGTGAAATTGCTGCCGCACCGTGTGTCTCAAATATGACCTTTGAATGTTCATGGAGCTCACTTAACAAGGCTTTCATGAAGCTGAAACCGGAGACTGAATACGAGTAGGAATAACGATTGGTTGAGAATATGAAGCTATCAGGATGAATGTACTGGCCGGATCCAGGTAAACCATTTGTCTGACTGAAGCGAGCTGTTAGCACAATACTCACAATGTTCTGCTAAACCAGCTTACACTTAAAAGGAACTTTAGATGAGTTTTCTAGGGCTTAGTTCTGGGGCAATAGTATAAAACTAATCAGAAAGCTGCCTATAAGAGTCAACGCGAGTCGTTGACAAAGTACTTCGAGACATTACTCTCCAAGCCTCCAATATCGAGTAGAATAGATGTAGAATTCTGTCCTGTTAAAGCTAACCCTTGTATTATATTCTCTTTGGTGGGCAACGATAAATACGATGCATTTCCATGCACTCTGTGTGAATTTATTGAGATGATTTTTGGTACTTTAGTATTTTCATCTAATATTGTACAACAGTTGCTTTTCATGATTCGTTTAATGATCCCGTATTCTGGACCCGTATTCGAATAGTGAGTGACTTCTAAGTATACTCTTGCGGTATTGTGTAATCGAATTTGTTTTGCTGGAAGTTCCAGTTTTTATAATGCGAGTAATATTTTAAATTTCATACAAAAATGTTGAAAAAGTAGTCAGGCTTTTAAATGTGTACAACATCATTAGGTGAGCAAGAGTCTCAGTAAAAACTGTCTCAGTACGTGTTTTGACCGGCTGAAGGTTTATATTTGTGTACTTGTTTGCCGTGTTTTGGTTTATAGGTTGTTACATGTGGATTTGTCCCCTTATTGAACACTTCGGTTCCAGATCCACCGGATAATATACGCGAATGGAGCCACGTTAGGGAGTTGGTTTGTTTTTGTCGTTTTGGCGTTTACCATCAAGTGTTTTACCTCAAGTGTTATTGAGTTCCTGGCCACGGGGGTATCAAGTAACCCAAACAAATGATTCCCATACTTCTTTGCGATGAGGCTCACACTGTTCTTTTGGGATCTTGTCATTTCAGAGAGGTCAATATATGCCTGAAATGTGAGAAGCACCCGTAGAGCTGTTTTATCCTTATTGGTAATCAACACCAATGCGCATGTAACAGAACTCCGAGAAATTTGAACGCACGACGTTTCGGCCATCAGTTGAACAGTACCGTTTCACCACGAGAAGCTGATCAGAAGTGTAATTAGCTCACAATTAGACGAGACCGAGAGTCCCTCATCCTTTGGATGAGAGCGTATCACACTGTTGTTCAGCCGCTTGAGTCCACAAGGTTGTATCCAACGACTGGCCGGAAGACTGTGGGTTCGAAATTCTTTGAGTTTAATTAGATGAGCACTGCTAGTGATTCCAAATAAAGATGAAACAGTTCTACGGTGTTTCTTGGTGTTTCAGCATAGATTGGCCCAGTCGATAAGACAAAACCATAATTGTAGTCTACAAAATCTCCTTGCACTCTGATCCTCTTATACTCTTATTTGAATGTAATTTGTCCACCCGTGGCACAATTTCCGTGCATAGCTAACACGCGACCCGACTTAAGGATGAGAGCTAATTTGCTGCCAGTTTGTTTAGGCCTAGATAGTGGCAATCAAGAGGTCAGGGTCAGGTTTGAAGCACGGTCCATTCAGAGTTTTGCATCTTGAACGCTGAGCCACCTTAACTTCGCTGTTGGCACAAAAAGTATAATCCCTAGCATTTTTCAGATTTAATTTGGTGCAGGTGAAGCTATGGAATGATATCTTGTACAGCCCTAGGTGGTTTTGTGACGATTCGCAAGCAGAAATATCGGTAGAATGGATGTCAGAGTATGAATTGGGGAAGATAGACACAAGTTTACGACTTTCCACAATATTTGTCCCAAATCACAATAAAGCATCGGGCGAAATGCATGCCAGACCGACACGACTCATTCACTCTCAAGTACTCCTCGGCATATCAGTCTCCCCTTCCAATGGTAATACTGATGTCTGAGATAGATGAAAATCGAATTTTTGTCTAAAAACAATGAAATTTCAAATTATTCGTGTAATAATCAGCTGGAGTATCATTCAATTGCACTACTGAGGGAAATTATGTCCCGAAATGATAAGATTAAGAAACTAGCTAGAATAAAAATGAGTTAGGAGAACTCCCAACTTGACAAGCGGTTATGGGGTAATCTTCCGTTACAAGATAAATCATGCCGGGGCACGCTGTCTTACTAAATTCGAAGAACTGCTTTCGACCGTAACTGTAATTAAACTGAAACGGGTCAATAATAAATTTATTACCCGGTACAACCAAGTTTTACGGAAGGTTTGACAACCAGTTCCTCTGCCATAGCTTTGAAACTTCAGTGGCCGCGAAAAACTGGTCAGTCATGCCATATCCTCCGTGTCCGTCTTCAAACTACAAACGGTTTTATGCACTCAGTAGCATTTTTGCGCTTTGTAGAGAAGCTCTCAAAATACCTGACACTGTAAACACTTCTAACGGGACCCACATTCTGTTCTCAAGTGTGTCATTGTTGACATGTTTCATTCTACCAATATTCCTAATTGTATCCGAATCTGGCTTTGACAGGAGACTCGGCTGGATTCAGCTGAATCTATCTCTTGTGATGGTTCACCCAATATTGTGTATTTTCTAGATACTAATGTTTTATTCTAGTTTTTAAGCAACGAAGCTAATAGGTGCTGCCTGCCGAAAGCATAACCTCAGTGTTTTCATTGAAAGATACGCCGGACATGCACGTACCTTGGTATTCGGGAGTTGGAGGCTGCAACAGACCACCTGTCTTAGCCAGTCATCCATCGCTGATGGCCATTTGACGATGTAGAGTTAGCCTACACCGAGAGCGGGCCATTCGGAATCACATTTATGAACATTCAGGCAGTCAGCAAAACATTACTAGTCGACTGCAAGTTTGATCATGTTTCGGACATAATACAGCTGGCACTCACCGGTTACTAGGCGGTTTACGTGGACCATATGATATCACAAACACCCTCTATTAAAACAATAATCTTAAGTAAACTATAAGATCTCCTGAACAGTTTAACAGTTCAAATTTTGTCCCTTCGACAGCTTGACGAACATTATCGAGCTCTGAACTTATATTTCGTTTCTCAAACAGTACATCATCTTTCTGCGGCTTGTCGTATGAAGAATTGGTGTACTGCACAATATTTTCATAAGCTGTTTTAAAGGTTACTAGTACAAAATTTGATGTAAAAAACCAAAGTAGTTTAAATCACACCGTTTGTTGTTTCTTTTAGGGCCAACTGACGGTGTTATTCTATGGGTTCAAACTGATTAGTGTAGGTGTTGACACAACGTAATTTAGTGATCTGTGGTCAC